CGGTATTTGTTTGTTTACTTCCGGTCATCGAAATTATTTTGAAACGCGAAATGTATTAAATGTACCAGTGGCGGTAACTATAGTGGCCAGCTTTTTGGCCATGATACAATATGGTGTTATTCACTAAGCGTCCAAACAGTTTACGGTAGGTACCTACCATTAATAGGTAACGACTACAAAGGACGGCGGTTGGCGATGGTGATAATAAACAATAATAATAAATACTAGTTAGTCGGTATAATTATCATAACAGTATAAAGGCAAGTCGATCGTTGGCGTCGTCGTCTCCCCTCCCCTCTATTTTACCGTCCGATAAACAAATAATATTTTGTACCGAGACCGGTCGAGCAACTCTCTCTGAACACCTCGTCGGTTGTCGGATTCGGCGGCGGCGCGGTGGCAGGCAGCTCAGTGGAAAAATCAATAATGCTCGAATTTTAGTCGGCTCGGGTGATGAAAACTATTACCGTTGAAGAGGAGAAGAGTGACAACCGAAGCAAACGGCGGAGAGATAAAAACTCAATAACAAGATCTGGCAACGTCTGAATGACGTAATGTTCTGAATTGCCGCGACGGCGCACGGGCAACAGCAGCTACCGCTGTTGTGTATGTTGTCTCCGCGCGACGGGTCCGCGGTAAGGAGGCGGAGCGCGGCGTTCACTGGTTGGCCGACGGCGTCGCGTCCCAGGTGAGTGCGCTTGAGCGGTGGCCGCTAGTAGTCTATGGTCGGTGCTCAGTTGTCGAAACTCGGTTGTTCCGCTGCCGTCTTCCGTAATCCAACGGATGCGCCTTTGCCGTTCATTCTCGTGTCTGTCCACTTTGCCCTACTCAAAACAGATACACGACGACGCCTTCCAGAAGTCTTTTTTTCGTCTCAGTGTATTCAAGATGGACAACGATGTAATGATATTATCGCATTGATTACGCCTTAATAATCTATTGATGGTGTCTATTTTTCGTTGCTAAGCTATTACAGATCACTGTCGATTTTCCTTTGAGCAGACGTCCCGAGTCCAGACGTGGAATTCTATAGAAAGGAAGGTCAAACAAGGTCCATGCACAATTCGTCTCATAATCTCAACACGATTATAATTTATAAATAATTTACATTTTACGATAGAGGTAATATTATATCATTATTATAATTTATAGGTACTTCCATCTGTCAACTAACTATTATTATTCGTTAATAATTACCTAGACCTTTTATGTAGTCATATAGGTACCTAGATATTATCGTTCACTTGCATGGTAACGGTTTGTCACGTTTTATGATAAAATAATATTAATTGTGTTATGTCCATCTGTCTGCTAGTGGTTTTTGATTTTCATTGCCAAAATTCCTACTCATTGCTGATTTTCAATTGTGCCGTTATGTCCAAATTCTGTGTTTTTATCACACTATGCTCGCAAAAGGTAAACGACCTAAACAATTCATAAACTATAAATGTTACTTCATATTTACTGCCTGTAATACCTAAAATGTATCATCATATTTGATAGAACGAAAAAGCAGTGGGTTTGATGATTTTATTTTCATACTGTCCAATACCCACTATGTCTAAAACTCTATAAACCAATTATTGATTGTGCAACCAGAGCTTAAACTTACAGGATCTTTATTTTTACAAATAATTGTGATGCAATTCAATGAATTTTAATTCCCAAGTGAAACAGATTGTTTGAAAAAAGCATATTCAAGAAGTAAATTACTATCTTTTCTATTATATTTTCAAGTGAACAAATTTGTTCGAAAATTGTATTTGTGTGTTGTAAAGTATGCATGTTACATAGGTGGTACCAGAAATTAACTTCAACTGCAGCATAATTAATTCACTTACCTAATTCCTATATGCAAATACAAAATGAAAATATGTGTACATACATACAAATTTCATAACATTTTTCTGCTTGGACTTTTAACTTTATTAAATACAAATTAAATATTAATCATAAACAAAACGTCAATTCAAAAATAACACTTCTTACTTAACCAAACATTAAAAATTGAACAGAAAGCTACTAAATAACTAAACCTTTTGCTGTGTTGTATCATATTATATAGTTACTCCTAGATGACATCATTACTCTTTGCTATGTTGGTTTTCTCTCGTAAACAAATAACAAAATAAGGGAATCTCACCTTATTAGAGTCATTGTTATTCAAAGTTTACTTATAACAATATTACATTTTGAGTAACAACGTCCACAACTGCGACTTTTAACAGGTATTGTCACAAATTACTGTCAAGTCTTAGTTAAGTTGGTAAAAATACCAATTCTGATTTATAATCAATCTAACCATTCAAATATTATTTTTTTTACCATGGTTGATAGTAAATAGGCGGTAATTATTATTGTAGCATAGGCATAATGTATTACTGTTCACATATTATCTTTTCTGTTTTGTGGTTGTAACTATTAGTGGTATGTGCCACCAAAATCACTTAAAAATCAAAGTTATCAAATTTTCAAATTGGGTTGGTAGTTGGCAGATTGGTTATAGTTTATAACATTTCATCGGTATTTACTGTCCATACTCTATATTCTATACCTATAAAATAAATTTAAGTGGTGGCTGAAACTGAGTAGTGCAGATAGCTAAGGCATTCATCATTATACACATGGTTACTAGTTAGTAACATTAGCTAGGCTTTTGTCTAGTTTTAACCAATTAGTAGGTATTTCACATCAAGTATCAATTAGTGATAGTTATAATATTATTATATTATAACAATACTAGGTATATATTAACTGTATAAAATATCTTTGACCATGATTACAGATATTTCTTATACAATATAATAGCTCATATAACTTATTAGAAATAGGTAATTGATTAATTAATTATCCCGATAACATAAACAATTATATTATTATTATAAGTTTTATTTCATTATTATTTTAAATGTAAGTAGAACATAGAGTTATGACTCATGAATATCCAAATTAAATTCTTACAGTTAACTGTATGATAGATATAACAGCAGACAAAATAATACTATAATAAGTTATATTATTTATATATTTATTATGATAACTTTAAAACAGCTTGGACTCTAGATATATTTTTGCTAATGAATTATAAGTGATAGGTGAAAAATTGCACCACATGAGATGTAATAGAAACTAGTAGACTAGAACCTGCTAAAAAAAAAAAAGCACTTGTTACCAAATGTATATAGAGTATAGACTTCAATTATTGGTAACAATGAGATAACAATGAAAGAATTTTTAAATTGTATTGATCACTGTGTTGAAAACATAATTCAGTTCATCCAATTATTTTTTTTTTAAATTTAATTTGATATACAGATATTTATAATTTATTTCAATCTTTTATTTTGTTTGATTATTTAAATATTCTTTTGTTGTGAAATGTTTATGTAATCGGCAAAATAATATATGTCAATGATTTTCGAGAAAAGATTCTGAGCATCCTGCTGTTAGGACATTACAACTGCACGTGCACTCTAACAAAAGTCTGACATAGCAAATTTGTGTTCAGCAGTTCTAATTTTGAGTAGTAACCTTTAATAATAGAGTTAATTGATCCATTATAAAACTTAAAGGTAAGAAAATTATCTGTTTTTTTTTCACATGGATTTTTTTAATTTTGAAGCAATTAAACTATATCAAATATTTTGTTTATTCAATGTTGTAACTACATCTTTATAGGCTACTAGAATAGTTTATAGGTTTTTATTTTAAGACTGAAAGTAAAAGGTTCATTCATTTTAGTTGCATATTTGTTTTATTTATATATAAGATGATTCACCAAACACGATCAACCCCCATTTTTTTCAATTAATAATGAATTTATTTAAATTCTAATTTTTTGGATTTTTTAATATACTTATAGACCATATTTTCAAATTCTAGAGATTTTTTTATTCTATTTTAAAGAGCGTCTTGTAAATTATTCAGTGAATAATTTTTTTTTTATATTTTTGATGTACTTATTCAAAATTATTATGAGTAGTTTTTTAGTCATTAAAATGTTTATACTAAGTGCAAAAAATATAAAATTATCCGCTTAATAATTTACAATAGAAAAGAGAAGTTCTCATTTGAAAAACAGAAGTGTGAATCTCCACAGGAGTCCTTATTTAGAACAAAAAATCTCAAGAATTTGAAAATATTTTAGTATTTAACTACATTTAAAAATTCCAAAAATCAGATTTTGAATAACTATTTTGTTGAAGAAAAAGAGTTAGCATGCTTGGTGAATCACCTTGTATATTATGTATAGTGCATAATAGTGAAAACATATTTAGTTTAATTAAATATTTATTTATTTATTTCAATATTTAACAGGGAATTTGCTAGATACCACAATACACATACATACTATTATAGTATTATACTTACAATGAAAAACAAATAGTTATCATTTAATATTTCTAAAAACTTAAAATAACAATTTTGTTGTACAAATTTATCTTATATTAATAACAATATCCAAAATATTCAACATTAAAAATCACTAGGAATATAATATCACTGCTTGTTACTCAGATGAATCATACTGTAAATTGGTTTGTTCCTTACATAGTTAGTGCTTTGGATTAGAACAACAAAAGGAACTATGGAATTATATGATAACTGGTTTGGAATGGAAGGGTTTTTATACGTATATTAGAAAATGATAAATGTTTTTTAAAATTATTATTTGTGATTCCAAACTATTTTAAAATTGTTCAATATTTTACATAGATATAAAAATTTTACATTAACTAAACATATTTATTTTGTTTTATTTTGGTCTTGCTAATACATTTTTTTTTTATTATTATTTTAAAATGAATATTTACAATCTATACAATAAAGTATAATGAGTAAGTGTGTTGAAAATTAGACATAAAATAATAACTTAAGTAGGAAGGCTCCTAGCAGTGCCACCTGACCAGAAATTTAACTAATACATTTTAAAATTTTTAATATTGTATTTATTTAATGTAACTCATTTCCTTTTTACAGGAGATATTAACATAACAAACATGAAGTCTGCTCAATCGATGAGATCAATGGTGGATTCCTTTACATATTATGAACCATGTGTACTATTAGAAAAAATTCCGTATGTATAATAAATTATTATTAATTACTAGCTGATCCCATGCTCTTCGTTTCCCCTTCCAAAATGCAACTCTATACTCTGTTCAAAATAAGACGATGACCTGACGGCGACCAGCTTTTATTCCATGACGGTCAGACGCTGTCCCCACTATGGCAACTCGGATGTTGCCATTTAACAAAACCACACCCTTGCGCACAACTCATCGTTTTATTTTGAACAGAGTGTATATGATTCAACCTTTCAGGACATTCGATTATATTATATTATAGCCATGCTGCTGCCCAAGAGATACACTTGTAAGTTGTGATTATAAGAGCAATATATTTTCAGGTAGGTAATCCACCTTTGGTAGATCGTAGATCCCGGGAAGTGCGTACATTATTACGAATGTTTACAGTGTTTATGATATGCATGTGCAGGTTTCTAGGACAACGGTTGAAAAATTAGCATTATTTAACCATTTTTCCCAAGTTCTTTGGTTTTGACCAGATATAAAATACCGGTCTAAAATTATAGCCAATAGCAACCTTATAATAAACAAAATTATATTATTAATGTTTACTTTATGTTTTTGCTGGACAGATTGTATTTTTGCCTTCCAGATTTCCTACTTTTCGGGTTCTTTTATACAAACCTTGTCCTGACATTTACAAACACACACACAAAAAAAATAAACAGTTCAATCGATCAAGCCATATTTGAGTCTTAGCCAGCTTGAAACTGCTTTTCATTTATCTATAATTCTACTGTACGTGTGTTTGTAAGCGAACTCCTCCTAAACGGCTGGACCGATTTTGATGAAATTTTTTGTGTGTGCTTTAATGGGCCCTAGAATGTTTTAGATTCACAATCTGACCTGATAGGCCCATTCTGTGGAGGTGCTCAAACGGGAATGTTGAGATTTATGGTGGATATTTTTGTTTATAAATGGTTGCCATGGGTTTTGAAACTATTATAATAATAATTATTGGTTACCGTGAAATCAGTGTATTCATTCAATGAATTTAATTTTTTTTTACTCTTTGTTTTAATATTATATGTATCACAATTACGTAAATATTAAGCGTATTATACTCACATATAAGTTATGTACATAAAGCAATGAAACGTCTTCGTGGACGAGGAGGAAATATTGGTCGGATTTATACTTGGACTCCGCATTCACAATTAGTTCAGCCGTTTAGGAGGAGTTCAGTGACATTTTGTTAGAACTTTGATACTTTAGAGTTAAATTATAAATTTAAGTACAAACAGCACGGGGTTCTACTTGATAATATACTGCTGCGAATGAGAATTTTTATTCCAGGCAACAGAAGAGTTAAGATAAATATTGAACACCATACACCGAATTTTAAATAACTAATTAAGTTTGAGTCATATAGAGTTGGTACATTTAACAGGAAACGAAGTGCATGGGATCAGCTAGTATAATATATATTTATACAATAATAACAGTTAGTACTATTATAATACTTAAGCTCAATATTTAGTACACAATTAAAGTTTTGGTTATTTTTATAATTGGAATTTGAATCATATTCGATAGGTTCACATCTATTTCAATATTTAGATTATTACCTATAACACATTATGTAATTATAATAATAATTGTTTAAATATATCTTTTATAATAAACTTATAATAATATGTTAATGTATACTAATGTTATTCATATTTTAGGATTCCCATATGGATGGAAAATAAACAGAACAACGTAGGCCTTACCAAATTAAAAACTGAAGAAACAGAGGAGTACATAAATGGAGAACCTAACCGTAAAAAATTAAAAACTGTTGAAACAGAGGAGTCCACAAATGGAAAACAAAACCGTAAAAAATTAAAAACTAAAGATACAGCGGAGTTCACAAATACAGAACCTAACCGTAAAAAATTAAAAACTGTTGAAACAGAGGAGTTCACAAATGGAGAACCTAACTGTAAAAAATTAAAAACTGAAGAAACAGCAAAGTTCACAAATGGAGAACCTAAACTTAAAAAATTAAAAACTGAAGAAACAGTGGAGTTCATAAATGGAGAACCTAACAGTAAAAAACTAAAAACTGAAGAAACTGAGTTGGAAATTCCTAAGTTGATACTGTCAAAAAATGGGGATATATTTAAATCGAAACTTAAATATTCGAAAATACAGCCAGAAATTTCTCATCTCAAAAAACTACCTGATAAATTGAACACAATAAATGAGGTCGAACCTTCAAATAAAGAAAAATGTATAAAAATAAATCATGACAAGAAAGATAAAATCAAAGAAATTAAGGAATCAGTAACACATAATACCTTATTAATTGGTAAAATCAAAATTCGTAACGTAAATACAATAAATGCCAATTTTACTGAAAATAACTATTTTGGTACAGAAAAACCAAATGTTTCACAAAGTTATTCACCTTTTGTTTTCCCACCGCTAGGGACCAAGGAAGTTACAATGCTATGTTTTGAACAATTACATAAAAAATACTTTGATAAAAAGGTACAAGATAATTTGGCCATTAATAACAACCTACTATTTATGAATATGTTAATAAATATGCATTGTATATCACGGGTAAACTTGATATTAAGTAGGAAAGACAAACATGTTGTGGCTCAGAATGTTCATAAGCTGGCAGTTCTGTACATAAATTATTTTGAAAAACTTGACAAAATGCTACAAACAAATATTATTGATTTAACTTCTATTTTTGACGATTCTGATTTTGAACATGGTTTTCTAATGATTATTTTAAGCCTATTCGTTGGTCTTAAGATGTTGAGTAGTAATATATTCCAGAAAAGTAATGTTTTACTGACAAAACTTAAAAAATTACAATGGGAAGTTATAAAAGATCAAAATGTTGATCACAATAAAATCCAAACAACTTTGGAATCCGATACATTTTGTTCGTGCTATTATAAAATATCAGAATTAATCGGAGAAAGCTCTCATACAGATCCCAACCTAATTGGTTGTTTTAAGTTATTGTTTATACCATCAGTTCTTAAAATTACTAATTTTAATTCAGTAATAGATGCTATTATAAATGCTACAGATGTCGATAAATTAGAAGGCTTATTAGAAGAGGCATCAAATAAAGTACGTCAAAATTCTTTTTCATTAAGTGACACTAAAATTGAAAATTTAATCGCATTGGTGAACAAGTCTACTCAAAAAAATATCAATGGCAGTCATGAAATGGCCAAACCGAGTACCAGTGGATTTACTACAATCGAAAATACTAGGTAATAAGTGAGTTAACGTAAAATAAGTTATTTTCAAGTGGGTATCCCAATAACATAATTTGTTGATGAACTATAAACAAAAAAACACATTTAAACCAAATGTACTATCATTGATTGTAAATACTAATATTTATTTAGTGATTTTGATTACAATGTCACACAAAATTTACTAACCACAAGCCCGCAATAATCACGGCTGCCTGGGTTAGTAATGTCGTGTAACATTGTAATTGCTAGTAATCACGTCGTCTCGCCATCTACCTAAATATTTGCGCCACCAAAAAAACAGCCAGTGAGCAATCTATAGTATTTATGATCAGTGGTATTATCATGGTCACATAAAATTCAGTTGGATCAAGTTGACTTTAATCAACTAGATAATACCTTATACCATTAAAACTACTATTGTGTTAAAAATATATTAAAAATACATAATATACCAGGTTGCATACAAATTTGAATAATTTAACGGTTAACTAAAATTTAATGAACCAATCATGGTACACTCAGTGGTCGGGAGTAGTGCGCTAATTGTGGCTACGCTACTTTATTTGTAGCGATTGACGTAATGTTATGCCTTAGATAGAGAAAATACTATAGCTCGCTAAACATTTCCGGTTAGCGTAGCTAAAATTATCATTATTTTGTCGCTAACTACAATCTAATTGGTGATTATTAAAATATCAATTATGATTATATTTGTTTATTTATATTATGATAATGATTAGTGTATTAGTGAAGTTTTTGTCCTGAGTCCTATCCAGTGACCAAATGTTATATCAGTACAAACTACAAACACCAGTTTTCAATAAAAACATTTTTATAAATTTTAGAAAGTAGTCACTGGGTACACTAAATACCTTTTAAGAAATAATTAGCACACTATTGATTTATCAAATATTTGTGAAATATTGTTTATACAACCGGGTATGAAGGTATTAAGATTAACAAAGTAATATATTATTTTAAAAACAGAAGTTGTAATGAATACAGTTGGCATACAATAATGAGAATTGCTTAATTCATACAAAAACTGTGTACATTATATACTACCTATCAAAAATTTTTTTGTTTTCAAATTATATTAATTTTTCAAATTATTTGCAAAAAAATATAATTAATAGACTCTTGGAATACAAAACATATATAAAATACTGATTTCAATTGTTTGAAATCTATGTTTAGCTTAAGACTGCTTAAAATGTTTATATAAACAAATTAACAAGTCACAATAAGAAATAGAACCAAATTTTTTCTGAAATAATATAGGAATAAATTATAACTTTGAATACATGTTTTTATAGGCTGCTTGATATGATACATTTATCATTTCAAGATAAAAGTTTTATTTTTATGTTCTGTGATATATGACACAAACTTTATGCTTGGCAGTTGTTCAGAAAAAAAAAATGTCATTCGAGTAATTTAATACCTGGTCACAACAAAATATATCTTTGAATTTTAAGAAATATTTTTATAACATAAAATGGCCAACGATTTACTACGTATCGTGAAAGCGTCCAGAATAAGTTTCTTTCCGACGTATAACGTTTGCTAAAGATAGATCACTCTCAACATGACCACAGCCTAATCCAAGATCAATATCCCAATACTGTCCTCGCATGATACCAAAGTCGATCGTTTCTTCTTTACTTCTCTTCTAGGCGGCACTTTTGATGCACCTGATATGATATCAAATATCACATTCTGTGTCCCAACTCACTCCACCAGAGACCATTCTCTATTCCTCTTTTCAACACACTCCACATCTTATTGACAAAATCACCCACTTCACCAAATGATGCGTCTTATGAATTATAATAATGACTTAGCTTAAACCATTTTTTGTTCTTTTGGCCTTTAATGAATTTATTAAATATGTTACAAATGTATGTTTAGTTGTATCTCCACTAGGAATTATATAAATATTATATAAATAAAATAAATAAATAAATAAAATGTTGAAACTTAAATACTTTATTTTTCTTTAGATCCACGTCAATGCAAAGTGAAAATACTCCACATATAGTTCATGCAAGATCTTTAAGAACTGAAGAACCAAATATGGCAATAATTGATTGCAAGTCAAAAGTCTGGGTTGTTGAAAATACTTCAACTTTTAATGTTCCTGAAGAATCTAAAGACTGGTTCAAAAAACCCATTCCTAATCAACTTCAAAAGAAATCTACTCGTAAAAAAAATTCAGAATCCAAAGAATTGAAAACGCTTTATGAGGATTATTCTAATACACATTTAACAAACATACATTCATTGTCAATAGCTGACCGTGTGAAATTACGTAAAACAAGAAATAATTTAATTACTGCAACTAAAACAACTGAAGACTCACGCAACAAACTAAGATCAATCAAAAGCGAATATATGTACACTCCTAGTATTGTTAATACAAGAATTACAAGATCCTCAAAATTAAATATTAATTGTGTTGAACCTCCGAAAAAGTCTTTAAAAAAAAAACATGCACCTAACCGAGTTAAAGTTCATAGAGCTAAGAATACCACAACTGCAGTGCCATCAAAACCTAACGACTTGTTCAAAATACCCTTCTCAATTAAAAATGAAAATTCATCTTTCCCACAGATATTCTTTACAAGTATCCCAGAACAAAATAGAGTTAATAAGAATTCTCCACTTCTTACAAGTATACCTACAACATCAATTATTAAACATGAAGAAGTTTGTCAAGATAGAAATTGTTGTACTAAAATTTCAACGAATAATTGCATACACAAAAATGTAAGCTCTACTATGAAAACGGTCAACGTACAACATGGATTAAATGGAAATAAAATGATCACAAAGCCAAAAGAACTATCTGTTAAAAATATTTCCAAAAGCTCGAGCAGCCACAATAACGGTGTGTAGATACTTATATTTGATTATCTTTATTAATATAATTACTTGTTTTGTTTCAATACATATTTAAGAAAATTGCAAATTAAAATACAAAACAAATTTAAATACTTCACGTATTTTAAGGAATTTTTGAAATAGTATAAAAATTAAAAATTATTTTCTTGAAAATTATAAACTGAGAAAAATCAAATTGAAAAAATTTTATTTCCTGGTAAAATAACATAATATTGGAATAATTCACTACATTTAAGTTGCTATTTTCTAAAACCCTAAAATCACAATATTTTATAAGCTAAAAAATTTCTCTTTTAGATTTTCTAAAATTTCACCTTTATCGAATTGAAAATATATTCAATATAATATTACTTACCTATTACTAACCTAACCAACTTACTCAGACTCACCCGTGGCTCACCAATAACAAAATAACTGATAATGGCCAATACTGAGATTGATATAGATGCCTATAGATGTTTTCATAATACTGTGCATTTGTACATAGGCTTAAAAAAAAAAGTAGTAATTTTATTGGGGTTTGGTGGTGTGGTGTATCCTAGTATCCGTTACCGGTAATTTATTTTATTTATTTGTTTATTTAACGCCAATCGTCAATTCAAGAGATTTACAATACAAGTTATATACAGAAAAAATATAGTAATAATAGTGATAAAGTAATCTTATAAAAAAAACAAAGGTGGAACATAGTAATTTATAGTGCAATCAACTAAATATTTAATACAAATAAAAACATTGCATTACAATACAACTAAAAACTAACTAACTTAAGTTAATATATAAATTTAAAATATCATGATCTATAAGTTATTGAGTAGGCGAAGCATTCTATGTAAATGATGGTTATGAGAGTAGTTGAAACGGTGAGAAGGGGGGACAAGATAAAGAGTGATTTCTCGTGTAATGTACGGGAACGCGGAAAGTGATAGAGGTGAGAAGGTCAGGGGCATCAACTGCGCCATTAAGAAGAGAGGTGATAAAAGAAAGGTCAGCATCTACACGGCGAGAAGAAAGAAGAGGGATATTCAAAGAAGATCTAATGAATAAATAGTCATGGGGCGGGTGAACAATCTTGAGCAGAAAAGCAGTGTATGAGAGGAATCGGTTTTGAACTCATTCTCAACGTAATTGGTCTTTAGCAAAATATGGCCCACAATGACCCACTAGTAACCTACTGTACAGTAGAGCGACATCCACTTACCCACTTTTTTTATTTAATAATGAAAATAATATAATAATATTTTTTATTTTGTGTCTTATCATGCCCATGATTAGTGCCCCTATTTTATGTATAGAGTGCATACATATGAACTGTGCTGACATTTCTTAAACATACTTGACCTACGTTAGCAATTCTCTATTATACATCCGTGCTTCTAAGAATTGGAATGCATTAATGAATGCTAAAAACTAAAAACTAATATTGTGTTTTTTTTTATTTAATATTATATTTACAATCTACAAATTTACTGTAATCTACCATTAATTAAATTTTAAAATATTTTCAAGCTATGAAAAATGATATGAAATAATTTTTAATTGTTTAAAATGTATTATGATTAACCTAGTTACATATGAGAATACCTAACATGTACCTAATCAATAAAAAAAATTATTTAAAATAGGTAATAATTTAAATAAGTTTTTAAATAATTAGCTAAAAAAATGTATTTATTAAACTGTATGTTTTACTGCCAATTATCTTTTAAGTGTTTTTAAAATATTGAAATACTTTTACTTTCCACCGAAAAATGTTTATATAATTTAAAATTTATATTTATGCCAAAGTCTATTTTAATTTATTTATTATTAAATGTATATATTTTAATAATACTATATTATGCTTTATAGTTTATACAGAAGTCTTATTTCTGATTAGTTATAGATAGGAGGAAGTTAAAGTAAATCACTGAAATATTTCCCTGAAATGTCATATTAAAAATAAAGTCATATTATAACACTTTAATGCTATCGCTCAATTCTCTAAAATTATTTTTGTATTAAATAAAATTTAACTGTTTAAACTATAAAGTCACTGTTTTTGTCATTTTTTGTTATTTTTATAATTTTTATATTTTGTATTGTATTTAAGTATTACAATATATATACCTAATATATACATCTATATTTGAACTATTGAATAATCTAAGTATAATACTTAGAAAATATGAATAAGTACAGAAAGAGTAAGGTTAAAATTAACTTATTATAAATTAAGTCAATAAATTTTCAATAATATGATAACCAAATATTAACTTTTTTTTATTTTATTTTGTTGTGCATAGAGAATTTTTTTTAATCCATAACTTTCTTTTGATTTTAGCTAATTACAGTCATTTTTGTTTTTTGTAGGTATGTGTGTACTAAACACAAATTTTCCTATAAAAGAAACTGACAGATGTTGTAAATATTATACTATTATAATGAATATATAAATAATTAATAAAAATTAAAAATCCAGAAAAATAATATTTAAAAAATGATGTGTTGTGAAACCACAATGAGATTTCTTAAGGGGCCTGGTCGCGACCTGTTTTTTTGCTCAAAAATTTGCCTTACAGGAAAAACTCTCACGCCTTGTAGATTGGTCCGATTTCCGTAATTTTTTTTTGTTAAATAGAGGAAGACGTAGTACAGGGCGCATTGGACTTGGATTTTCAAAATTATTTTTTGAAATCTTATATACAAGTTTGAATTTAATCCATTTTTACAACTTTTTAGTTTTTGTATTATTATTTATTTTTAGCAACGTAATCAAAAATCAAAGTCCAATGCGAAAAATCCCTGTAAAAAATATTCTTCTATCTAACAAAAAAAAAATTACGGAAATCGGCCCAATCTACGAGGTGTGAGAGTTTTTCCTGTAAACTGTGTTTTTACCGATATAATACACCCTATCAATCCCCCCTAAATAGGTATTGGGTAGTAGATTAGTGGAAAAGTCTTATAATTGAGGTGGCAACTAAAATATAAAATTTAATTTTCAAATTTTATAGAATTGCGGAAAATTTGAAAAATCGCGACCAGGCCCCTTAAGAGGACATCACACCCGTATGTGTTGTCTCCGTCTTCCAAATGTGCAACATAGCAAAAACTTTTATCTTTCTGTGTTTGTAGTAGTAGCTGCAAAATTTTTGAACATATAGGGAAAAAATTATCTATGCAACAGGGTGCCTATATTTAAGATAGGTAACATATTAAATACAATAAAAGTTATTGTTTTAAAGTGATTATTGTTTTTTTTTCATTTGCTTATAAAAAATGATTGGATAGTGTAAAATAAAAAAAAAAAACAAACTGTTGCATAGATAAAGTTCTTCTTTACGTGTTGTCAAAATTTGATAGTTCTACAACAAATATGGTGGGAGAAGAGTTGTCCCGCGCAAAACAGTTTTTGCTATGTTATACATTTGTGGTGTGACATCCTCTTAAGTATAATATTATGTTCCTTTTGAATTTAATTCATGTACGCTAATTAAAAGCTGTACAAATTTGATCTTAATTTGTACAATCTGTTTCACAATATTTTGTATTTCTAAATAATATAGATTAAATAAATTATAAAAATAGTACAAATGTAAGATAATATAATTTTCTCATTAATGTATGAAATTATTATTTGTAATATTTATTTGAAACTATAATATTATGGAGTATAGACTATAGTGTAAGTTATAATTGTCAACCTTGTTTTAATACTGATTAAAATATTATTATTGTTAATTTTTGATAAGTTCTGTTTTGCATCAACTGTTTAAATTTGTGTGTGATGTGTATCCTTTTTTTTAATATATAGATACTTACTATTTTAGTGTTTTATTGATGGTTAACTATAAATTATAATTATATAAATTTCAAATATTTGTAATGTTGTAATTTTAACCATAATTAAAAGTTGTACTCTGTACACATGTTTAGTTATAATTAAAAATATTATTGATTGGTTTTTAATTACAATTACACTTTCAAAAATGGCATTTATAATTTATGTGTATTTTTTTATATGTATGTTAAATGTTTATTAAATAAGAACAATAAATTGTAATTGTATTAATTTATTTTGTAGCATCCCAACAAAAGTATCATATTTCTTGGTAAAATAAAAAAATATTAAGTAAATATTAATGTGTGAATACCACTATACCTGTGTTGGGTAGTTAGTAGGTACCTAACATAGGCAACAAAGATCACACGTTACTTTGTTTGTAATGTGCCATGTAATTTGTTAGAACTTTATCCAAGTAGGTACCTAAAAAAATGTAACATGTTTCCATTTGAGTTGTTCCAAGGAACTAGAATTTTAAAAAAATTGTAATAAATCGGAAAAATAATATCCTGGTAAATTATATTATTATATAAAATGTTAACTCGTCAAAATAAAATTCAGTATTAAAAAAAGTATAAAAAAAAAGATAATAATTACATAATATTATTATTATTTATTTTTATTTACAAATATATACTTATGATTATTGACTAATTAATATATCAAATTAAATATTGTTAGACAATAAGTTAAAAGTATAAAAATTAAAAATCAAGCTTGACCAATAATTAAAGAATCATTATTTAAAAAATAAGCTATTATTTAATGTTGAAAACAAATATTGAATACAATTAATCGTAGTGTAATTAAACAAGGTAGGTAGGTTTGGTATAGCTTAATTTCCCTCTGTGGCACTGCCAAGTGTCCTACATAATTGATTGTATATGAAATTTTTTTAGTTTTTCAAGAGCAAAAGTAATAGGAATAACCCAGGAACAAGGAAATTACAAACATTTTCACCCTTGGACATGAATGGGTCAATGAATAATAACAAATAATATTTTGTTTTGTATTTCCATTATTACTGTACTGTAGGTAAAAATGTATAATTCAGTAAAAAAAAATAAAGAGTTTTGAGTACCTACCTATATAAGCACTGAAATTATTTAGTAACTACATTTTTTAAATTTAAATTTACTGAAATATTTTATTATTCGTTTATTGTTAT